AAAAAAAAAAAAAAAAAAAATATTGAGAAACTTCATAAATAGCTATAACGAATAGTTTTTTACAACATGCTGGAGAAAATTTTTTTTATGCGGTGGAGAGGGACCGCATTAAAAAAAAAAAAATATGTAAAAAATTTACGAAATAGCGAGAAAGTGCTTTCCAAACAAAATAAACAATCAAGTTACACATGGAAACATTTAAAACAAAATTTAATCTCTCATTTTAAACATGCGGTAAATTTTCATACAATTAAACACTACTCGCGCATTTTCTTGTGATGAGCTCTTTCAAAATCGCTTTCGTCACTTGAACATATTACAGTTGCTTTAATTCTTTTGTTACCATGAAGTTCGGTGATAAGTTTCTGCGACGACTTCTTTTTGGAATTTCAAACGCCTTTCGGAAATGTTATCAATTTTAAGAGAATGCTTTCCCAATTTCTATTTTATCCGCTGTCATAGAACTCGGTTCTTCTTGTTCGCCTTCAAAATCTGTTAAGTTATTGTTAATGTCACATTGACGGTTTCGTCCTTAATCATTTTCTAGATGCCTTCTCCGCAGATGTTATGTGCTAGAGCAATGATTTTTGATGATAACAAATGGAAAACAAATATAAAATCGCATAAAAAAGAATCGCGCAAAAACAGGTTTGACTGTAATAAATTATTATGGGTATTATTAATGATATAAGAGAGTTTTCAGCGGTAATTGCTACAATGCTTGTCGCACGTTTACAGTAGAAAGTTGCTTTTTCACAAATACAGAGATACAGAGGGTGGAGAGAAATTTCGACATTGCATTTGTGGGAACATTGTTAAATTATATGTCTCGTCCAGTTTTCAATGAATATGAATCAAATCAAATGAATATAATTCTGCAGCCTCGGTTAGTAGTTTCGGGGACCGGGAATCATGGCGCGCAGCCCTTTGGCCCCATCGGTTTCTTTTGTCGCGCGATAAATCACTCGTGTACAGAGTCACATTCACGTATACAGGCAGTCTTCTTTGATGTTAAATTGCTTCGGGAAACGAGGCTGCTAACCATTTTACCTAGCAGCTTAATTGTGCCACGGAGCAGGTCGCGCTATACATTGACTACACTCCTGGAACAGAGGCTCTCGACAGGAAATTGCCGGAGTGAACGTAGCCTAAACGTTTCGTCGTTTGAACCCCGATGTTCAAAGTAAAAAACGTCGGAGACTTCGATCCTTAAGATCACGATAGACACAGAAATTTATCATCGTATAGAGACGTTTGAAATTTTGCACAATTCAGAAAATTTGCGTGGGAGACGAGGATGAAATTGTCAAAATTCGAATGCTTCTAGGAACAGTGAGAAAAAAATTGTTTCCGTCTTGAAAATTCTTTTTGCAACGACCACGAGTTTTTTGAACTTCACTTTTATTGAAACTCTGAACATTAGGATAAAATGACAAGGCGTTAGGTATCTCTTCGATGAAATGATGGGGGAGGAAAAAAATCGTACAGCGAGTTTTAAGGGTTGTAAAGGGGGGACCTTGATCTTACAAAGAAAATCTTTCACAATTTTTCGAATTATCGTACTATCTGATGCGAAGGTATCTTTGAAACTCCGAGCCAAATCGAAGTAGAGGTTTCACGCTTCGAAACAAGAAGAAATTTCACGAAATTGCGACAGTTGTTCGACGAAACGTTTCTTCTTCGTGCGACGTATTTTTCGTCCAACACCATGCGTCCGTGTTTCGACTGGCGTGAAAGCTCACGCGAGTGAAAGTTGAGAGCCGCAGTCGCGACGTAACGTTAAAATTGGAGGCCGTATATATATCCCGGGCGCACGAAATTGCATGGGTTCACTAAATAGCGGGCACTTTAGCACGACCTTCCGCTAATAAGATCCTTCGAGTGATACTCGGCCGGGCCGGAGTGTTTAAAGTTGAACGTTAACTCGGATACCTTGTTGTCGGCGCGCGTTTTAACTCCTCGTCTCGCGCCATCGCCAACCACCAACCTATCTCGCTCGGTGGTTTAGATTCGCATCGCGCACCGAAATCGTATTTACAACTTTGCCGTAGTGGCGAAAGTGGCGAAGGAGGAGGAGGGAGGAGAAAGGAAGAAAGAAAAAAAAAAAGAAAAAAGAAAAAAGAAAAATGGAAAAAAGAACGACGCGGGAGGACGGAGACAAAGGGCGCGCGGGCGTTTTTCAAGGCGCTTTTTATATTCGCTTTCGAGCTCTATTAGAGATTTAATGCACGTAACCGTACGAATGTGCATTACATCGATGTAATTACGGAGCGGTGGAAAGAAGTAGGCCAGTTTAAAGTGCACCG